TTTACTTCGATTAGTATACCCCCTTTTCACTGGAATATTTTTCTTTTACTTATCATCAAAGAAATTATTTATTTACAAAGCTTATAATTAGTAATAATATTTCACAAGTTAAATGTTAAAGTTTTTCACTAATTTTCAAGGTTTTACGTGAGCATGAATATGTTTCCTTTTTATTTCTTACGTAAACAATATAAGTTCACGTAAAAAGAGACGAAATAATGTTTATAATTTGAGATAACTGTAACGATATTAAGTGAAGATATCTATTGGTCAGAGCACAATATCCATTAGAAAATCCGTGTACCATATCGACTATTTATTTGTTTGGTTTTTTTAAAAATATTAAACAACAATAAATTCTATAATTGATATAAATGATTATATTAAACCAAAAAAAAAATCCGTAAAAATTCTATTTTAAATGAAAATTTTATTATTTGCACAATGATAACCATAGATGACTATAAAGTCTAAAATGAGATAAAAGTAAGTTAAATGCTTTGTGTTTAATGCCATGATAGATAAAATGTATAGCTAAGAAGAAATATAATCCATAAGAGGTCATTAAAACAAATCCACGAGAGGTCAACAATCAAAAATTAAATAAATTGCTAAAAATATTAATTACAAGAATTAATTATTAAAAATTGTTTAAATAGCTTTTATTAAAAATAAATTATTGCAAAAAGTTAATCTCAAAAAAGAATTTTTTTTTCTAGATTACTTTTTGAGAACGCAATTTGGAATTAAATCTTTTAGTAAGTAAATCAAAAGTTAAATTTTTAAGGAATTTCTGATTGATTTTCTACGCATGAGTAAGATATGTATACATTCAAATTTGTAAAGCCCATGAGATTACGGATATAAAGCGTGGGATTTGCATGTTCTCGTATCCATCCATTTCATCTGAATTTTTAGCAAAATAGCTCTACACGTTATGACTTAAATGCTACTCATATTTTTGCAATGTATATATTTTTAAAAATTCTTAAAGCATTTCAAAATTAAAAGGTAAGATGAATTATTATATATTGAAATGTACACTTTTTAGCAGAAATATATTTTCAAAATTTTACGTACGTTCGGTTTTTACTTTATATTGAAGTTAATTTATCACTTTATTCATTATTGATTAATTAATTATCATTATGCAAATTAATTTATTTAATTATTATACTTCCATTATTTGATAAAAATAAATAGAATACAAAATTTTGTTCTTTCAATACTATCTTTAAGTTATGTTGTAGCAGTCTGCTTAGTTTTTAAACAACTTTTGTGTAATTTTTTTAAACCAGAACTACTAATTCAAATTTTAGTTTAATTTTTTACCTATTTCTGTAGCATATTTAGATGCTTCATTAATAAATGGCAGTTTTTTGCGATCTAGCTGCAAATATTCTTGAAATTGCATGAACTGGCGGGAATAAAATGTAAGTAGACTTCAAGGACGCAAAAATTGCATCATTTGGCGGGAAGAAAATATGAGAAAATATAAGCAGCGGTTGAATAAATGTTATTGTAGTTTGATATACAAAATTACTGAAAAATAGAACAAGGCAAATATAACTTAGACTAACTTGACTTACGTCAATGCAATCAAATCAAGAACTGTTATGCAGTATCAAAGGTGCTTTCAAGTGCGCGAAAGTGCTTTACAAAAAAAAAGTAATAAAGAAAAAGGATATTTAAAGTTAGTTACTTAGTTAGATAGATAGTTAGTTAGTAACTTGTCTTACTTTTATTTATTTTTGATGCTGTCAATTGCTCTCAAAAAAGTTAAAATTGCACAAATGGAAGAAGTAAAATATTTTGAAGGATTGAAGAAGAACTAAAATTTTGACAAGCAAACGAGTAAGTAATCGTATGCAATAATCATTTTACTCAACAACTTCTTACTTAAAACAACGTAAAAGTAAACGGAAACTGTAAGTACTTGAAATTTTTAGTTCGAATTTACGTCCTTCAATGAACAGTCGCAAGTTCAGCTTAGTTTGTTTACTTGTCGATCTCAGCAATTGCCAGGCAACTAACTTTAACTTTAATTTTGTTAAAACTTTACAAATTTTATAATTGGCTTTTTAATAATTTAATTGTTATTTATAGCTTGCACGCTAATTACTTTTTAAATCTTTTATCATTTATTACTTTTATCATTATGACATGGCAACTGATAGCACCAACAAGGCTGTATTTATAAAACATTTTTAATGCATCTTTAAGTCTACATAGATCACAATTAAATAATTATAGTCTAATGGATTAAATTAAAATCGACTATAAAGTTTATCTCATAAGCGCTGCGTATATGAGATCAGGTAATTTGACCCATTAATGAAAGAATTCCCATCTGTTATTAACATCAATCTTTACTGCCAAATAAATTCTTATCCTTGCAAACACAACATATTCAAATCCCAAAAATAAAGACTTAAAAAGTATTTTTGCTCTATCTTTCATACAGTTACAAGTCATTATTTACTTTTTGTAAGCAAACACATTTTTGATTATATTTTTGTGAATTTTTTGACTAAAAATATGTAGTAATTCTGTTTTCAGCTTTCTTGCAAATCTTGCATAAATTAAATTCTTAATCGTTTTAAAGTTTGCTTTTAATTGCTACACGGCCTTAGATTTTGATGCACATACTTTAAGTGCCTTTAAACTACCATTAAAAAATCTATTTTATTTTATAGCTAATAAAGATATTGTTTTGGATAAAAAGCAATTTAGGATTAAATTTAAAACAAGGCTTCTCATAGATATAGTACAACAATCTAGTCCTACTCACTTTACTTCAAGCAAAGTAAAAATAAAAATATCATTAAATTAGCATTATATATATCAATATATATTAACATCATGCCAATTTATTGATATTTTATAGCCAATAAACAGTATTAAATTAGCATTATATACATATTGATTTATATTATGCTAATTATATATATATAATTTAATGATTTATTTTCTATTATTGATATATATTATGCTGATTTGATGAAAAAAGTTTTATATATATAAAATATATGTATTCAGTGGTTTATTTTCTGTATATAAATCACTTTGCGTGCTTTGTCATTGTCAGTACTTAATGCTTAATGCTTAATAATTAGTATAATCTCTTGGAAAGCTGAAATTTTGTTGCTCTCAAAATGGTCGCTTTATTTGCCTTTTTTTCTAAATACTCGTTAATTGCTTGAAAGTAAAATAAAAAACAAAATATATAATTACTTATATGCATTGCAGTAGGCAAGCGTTTAGTTTCGCACCAAAAAAAAAATTAATATGCGCGAAAATCGTTAGTTTAATATAATATTTGTAATAAAATAATAATTTTGTTAGTTTTTCTAAAAAATTGTTTATATTTATTATTAGTAATTAATTGAAAAAAGTTTATTATAGCAAAGCAAAAGTGTAGTCACAAAATGAAAATGCCTTCTATTATTATTTGCTCGATAGGAAATAATTACTTAATGCAATTTTTCTACACGTTTGCAATAATTTTATTTTTGGCTGATTTTGTTTCCGCTGGCACAAACTGCACAGAATTGGATTCTATTAAAAATTGTGTTGATGGCATGATCATACCAATTTGGTAAGTATTTTTCTAAATTTACTTTATTTGCTTATTTGATTTTAACTAAAAAATCTTTGTTTTTATTTACAAAAATATTATAAAATATAATTAGTTAATAGATTAATTAATTGATTGATTAGTTACTTATTAATAAATAAGAATTTCAGTTCTACGTTTGCAAGTTGCTATCATTCTATCATTTAATGAATTTATTTATATGATCAAATTATTACAAAAATGATTAATTTTATTAAAATCTGACAAGAAATTACAATTTTTTTAAATATAATTGTCGAATTTGTGAATTTATTTACTAATTTTAGCTGTATTTTTTCGAAAAATAATTAACTTAATTAATGTAAGACATATTTGTTTTGAGATTTATTAAATTTACATGA